GGATGGAACAGATCATATCCCTTCAACACTGGAGACTTAACAATCAGTGTAAACGTACTGTACAATTACCTCGAGGCTAATGCGAAGGTAACTGAAACACTGAGTCATATTTACACACATGTGCTACTCGAAATTACCGAGTCGCATCTAAGAATTCTAAGCGCAGTTTTGGTTGTGGAATGATTGTCGCTCAGGCTGGCAGGTTGTTATAACTAGTGTGATTTGTCATTTCTATACCGATATTTCGAAGACAATTTCTTTTTATCTAAGCTGTCTACAAATGTGCCTTGATGTGTTGATCAACGGGACATTGATGAAAATGATTTGATAATTTCCCACCGTTGTTCGCTAGCACTTCTTGGTTACACTGTTTTGGGATTGGTATACCATCTTTTAACGAAAAGCCACGTTAAATGTGACGGAACAATAGAATTGCAAAGGAGATAAACTCCACCAGTTTAGTTTGAGCGGTACACTCGGTATTGATTACAGCTTACCACTTTTCTTTGTACCTTCCCTGTGACTTTCAGGTACCTTGGACCGATCTACGTTATCTATTTGGTGAAATTATGTACGGGGGTCACATCACAGATGACTGGGACAGGAGACTCTGTAGAACTTACTTGGAGGAGTACATGAAACCAGATATGGTGAGATACAACTACCAGTAAATATCTCAGATTTGTAACTAGCCTTAGCCTAAGTCAGCATCTAACATTGAAACATTTTCCCAAAAGTTGATATTCAGACGTCCATAGTCGACCATGTAACTCTCTTCAATCTGCACATAAAACAAATTTCTTTACTTCGTTTGTTTTATCCATTTTGAGGCATGATGGTTGAAACTGAGAATTGTCATTTCGATTTTCTCCCTCAAGGTTTTGATTTTGTTAAGAAGAAAGATAATACTTTATAATTTAGAAATGCATATCCAGTGGATATGTTTCTACCGGCCTTCCCCAGAAAACTTTGTAGGAGAAAGAGAGATACAGCTCTTAATTAGATGCTAATAAAACGCATGTTTGCTTTCCGCAGCTTGAGGGTGAGATGAACCTTGCTCCGGGATTTCCCGTCCCACCTAACTCAGACTACAAGACGTACCATACCTACATTGACGAGGTGTTACCTCCAGAGAGCCCCTACCTTTACGGTTTGCACCCTAATGCTGAGATTGGCTTCTTGACTCAAACTTCGGACAACTTGTTCCGTACCGTGTTGGAGATGCAGCCCAGAGATGCCGGTGCGGGAGGAGGTGGAGGACAGACTCGGGAAGAAAAGGTAATTAGAATATAAGTTCCCTTTACGGTATCCTCTGCTTTTCTCGTTTTTTCCTTAAGGAGAATTGGACTTTTCGACTCATTAAACGAGGAAACTTACGATCAGAGTAATGTATGTATTGTTTCAAGGAAACATTAAATTTATTCCAATAAGCTTCTACGGCGGGAGATGTTATTCTGCGAGCTCGGATCGCAAAAGTACTGCTAAGTTGCAAAGCGATATTTTCCTGAGGGTGAGTGTTGACTTTAAGAAGAAGGAGTGTGCCTTTTGGGTGTAAATTGACAACTGGTTGTACCTGGTTTTGTTACAGGTTAAACAAGTTTTGGATGAAGTCTTGGAGAAGTTGCCAGACGAGTTTAACGTGCAGGAAATGATGGCTCGTGTAGAGGATCGCACGCCTTACACTGTAGTTGCCTTCCAAGAATGTGAGCGGATGAATATCTTGACAAGCGAGATCAAACGTTCTCTCAAAGAACTAGATTTGGGTCTCAAAGTAAGTTCTACTGCATGACTTGCTGTGTTAAATAATGAAATGTTGTTTTGACCTGATCAGTTTGCGCCTTGTATTTTTGTTGTCATTTACCATGTATGTCCCTTATTAATTCTAATGTTAGAGAAAACCGATATAAAAGTCGAAGAGTTCACTTGAAGGTTGATATTGATGAGAATACTTCTGCAGAATTCTAACTGAAACATTCGTGCCGAAAACTCGTAGCTTACTGCCTTGAATCGCACTCGCCTAGAACGAGTCTCAAATTCTACCCACATGCCTCTAGCACAACTCTCGATTCCCACCCGACTCTCGTGCGAGTTAAACGCAATATTTCGCGCTTCCAACGTGGCTTAGGTAACCAAATTGTACCATGATCTTCCCGTTGTTTGCCTTCCTCACTTTTCAATTCGCACCCATCATTAGCCGAGTGTTGTTTAATCAAAATTAATCATTATCATGGGGTTTCCTACATATAGTGTAATATCTATCTGTACCTTGCAGGGTGAGCTGACCATCACCGCTGACATGGAAGAACTTGGCAATGCTCTGTTTCTGGACGACGTTCCTGAATCCTGGACGCGCCGTGCTTATCCATCCATGTCAGGCTTAGCTGCTTGGTTTGTGGACCTGCTGTTGCGAATTAAAGAGCTAGAAAGCTGGACATCTGACTTCTGTCTCCCAAATGTTGTTTGGTTGTCCGGTTTCTTCAATCCTCAGTCTTTCCTGACGGCCATCGAGCAGTCCATGGCGCGAAAGAACGAGTGGCCATTGGACAAGATGGCACTCCAGGTAAAATTATGCACCGGGTTAAAATATTTAAAATCTTTGACTGAGTTTTTCTCTTACCAACCATGCCCGAATATTCTATATTTTCACTTGTATTAACGTTGAATTTCATACATTGCATGTTGTGCCTTTGTTTGGCCTCACTGTTATGCAGTCTTCAGTGTGAAAAAAGACATAAGCTTAAAGCCGTGGAATTAGGGGACTCTCCATCGCCACTGCCATGGAAAACTCTTTGTCCTCTTCGTTTGTCATTCCTACTGTGGCGCTGAATGCCGAAATAAAAAGTGCGCTTTGTAAAGTCGTGTCTTAAAGGGCTTTCAAGGCATTGATGGCGTGAAAGACACAACTCTTTCTTGAAAATTACTTTTCTCAAGTAACTGGAAAAAAGAACATTATAGACCAAACCTATGCTTTTCTAAAACTGAGGTGTATCTTAATTTATAAAGTAGTGACATCAATAAACGTGCTAAACAAGAAACAGTATACTCAAGGCCCCGAGATGTGCAATTTTTTCTTACATATTTTGTTAATCTGTATTGTCGTTAATCTTCCACGCTAGATTTAAGATGTCACTATTTACTAATGATGCTAATTTATTTCATTAGGTGGATGTCACCAAGAAAAACAAGGAAGATTTCAACAGTCCACCCAGAGAAGGGGCTTATGTACACGGTCTGTTTATGGAAGGCGCCCGATGGGACACGCAAACTGGTATGATAGCAGAATCAAGACTGAAAGAGCTAACGCCTGGTATGCCTGTGATGTTTATCCGGGCCATTCCAGTCGATAAACAAGAAACTAAGAACGTGTATGAGTGTCCTGTGTACAAGACCCGACAACGAGGCCCGACGTACGTGTGGAACTTTTTCTTGAAGACTAAGGAGTCTCCTGCTAAATGGACACTAGCAGGGGTTGCTTTGTTGCTAAGCGCGTGAACAAGTGTGTTTAATTCAAATGACTTGATGATTTTAACTTTTGGTCTGTGTTTTTTTCTGCTCACATGAAATGATTTGTTTGTACCTGACACTAAGTTCGATGTTATGTGGAAGGTGTACTAACGATACCAGCTTTCCTATAATGTTATGGTTCTTTTCTGTTTAAGATTTCCGTTTGTTTCTTATTCAGTTTCTGTCTCTTTCTTCTTATCACTGCACTATGGGGATAGAAAACTGTTCAATCCTTTAGCAGAAGTAGATATTTCCACTTACACGCATTTGAAGCCATTTTTTGCAAAAAAATTTCTTAGTGATCTTTATTTATATTTTTTGTGGGTTTTTTTCTTAGCTCCTTCCTCAAATAAGCTTACTTCACTTTTTTCCTTCCTTTAATTGATTTGTTTCAGTAAAACTGTTATATCAAAGTAACTTATTTTTGTATTCATGCAGAATTCGTCAAATGTTTCACAAAATTGTGTGAAAGAATTTTGACTATTAATTTCAAGGTCTCTATTGTTAACTAAATTTGCTGTATTCAGTGTTACATTTGTCACCTTGATTCTCGAGCCACTTTTAAAGAGTGAAACTATTTACTTGATAGAATTGTTTGTGAAAAAAATAAAAAGTCATATTGAAAATTAATTCGGTGTGGTATTTTTGACCCAGAGTAGTCAAAACAGTTCTCATGATTCACCAAATATTTGAAATGAAAATAACGGGAATGTTTTGACTAGTGGTAATGACCTCAACACATCTTTATTGTCCGGAAATTCGGACATGAAAAAATGACCTTATTTAGACCACGAGTTGTTTGTCCTTCTCTCAAAATGGAGTCACGGCTTGGTGAACTGGTCCCCTCCTTCAGTGTTTGTTCTCCATTTGCGCTCCTAAAACCGAACGGGATAAACGAATTAAACATCATCGCGTGGTTGAGCAGAAAGAGTTACTTCAATTTTTGTACTTTCTTTGCACGTACACATGAACAAAATTTGTCGGTGGTTAGCTCTGGAGCCCTCATTGAAACCGCAATTATTCACAATCAGATGGATATGGACAGGATGAATTTGCATTTGAGAATGAGTTTGAGTTGCGCATGAAATGTGATCCGTGTTAGGAGTCAATAAAACATTAGAGGCATGCCGCTGAGCGTAGCTTTGTTTCTTGTGTACAGTTCTCGTCCATTCCCTTTCGGACAAGGACTAAGAATTTTTTTTCTAACATTGTATGACCGGTTCGTGTAGCGGCCTGTTAATTGAATTTAATTTAAAAAATGCCGGCTCTTGTTTTGTTTTCTAAATTTAAATGCCCCTGTCTGAAACCAAAGTGAAGATGTCATTGATTCACTGTAAACAACCGTTTACAACAAATCACCGAGTGATAAACTTCACCCAAAGATATATCATACTCAAATGTAATGCACCATCTTATAATCATGAAATTATAGAGGAAATGTTCAATAAACTGGAGAGATTAGTTCAGGCTTTCCAGCTTGAAATGACTTAGCAAAACAGACCCACCCGTGCCAACAACATATAACTTCCATATAAGGTAATAGTGTCCATGTTTGGATTTTTTAGTTACTGGAAATCCCGTATGTTTCTAGCTCCCTCGTGCTATGTTGTTGTTTTGCTTTTGATCCTTTTTCTTGTGCAAAGCAAGGCAATTTGGAATCTGGCTGTCAGCCGAAGATGTCTTCACCTACTCGAGATCAGGAAAGCGATGCTTTAGCCCTGTTAGCTCTAAAATCAGGCACTATTAATCCTATGAAGCAAATGTGGGCTGGTGTCAACACTGTGACTCCAATAGCTAAACTTGAAGGTCGCGAGTTCGAATATTTGGTTCGGCAAAGTCGGATTATCATCGGACGAAACAGCAGTCTTGGGAGCGTAGACGTCAATATGGGCCATTCCAGTTTCGTTTCGAGGAAGCACTTGCAGATAAAATTCGAAAATCAGGAATTCTATCTCAGTTGCAATGGGAAGAACGGAATATTTGTTGACGGTGTTTTCCATCGACGAGGTGCTCCTCCATTGAAACTACCCTACGTGTATGTATACAAACTTTTACAGTTTGTCGTTTAACGCTTCGTATCGTCGACAGGCATAATTTTATATTGTGCTTAAATGTAGCTGGGTTAAAATGATATAATTTGTGTTTTCAGTTGTGTGCTGCGATTTCCATCCACGAATGTGAAAGTTCGTTTCACCTCGCTCGTTGGTGACAACACTCCGAAACGCGTACCGAGTCCCCCAAGAACAAAGGTTTTACCACCTCTGCGAATAAACATCCCGCAATCAGATTCTAACTTCGCCTCTCCTATTCCATCTCCAACAGGAACTATAAGGTATGGAACAATTAAAGTTAGTTGCTGCTTTGTATGCTACTCTGTGTGTGTGTGTGTTCCTTACCAGCAGTCGATAAACTGCATTGGTCACAAGAGTAGCACATTCACTCACGATAAGTTTGTTTTGTGCTTGTGTTAGTTTACGATTTTCATACGTGTGTTTTCACTTTTATCACTACATCTCTTGATGCCCTCCGCGACTGTTTTATGAAAGTTAACGAATGATTTGACACAAGAGCTAATATAGCTTACTCATTTGTTGAATAAGGCTGTGTTTATTTCGTGCATTCGGACATGGAGATTTGGGGTCAACTTTCTTCCTGATCCGTGAGAGAATATTTTCTTATCTGAGTAAGGGAACTATCCGTAGATCGCGAAATGGTAAAGAAGACAGAATGATTTTGTTTTCATGTGCACGTGTTGTGGTAGAAATTGCAAGTGCGTTGGTTACTTTAGTTTCTAAATTTAGTAAGAGCCTAATCTCTTGCCTTCGGCGTTCGTTTCACCAGGGCTTGAGACATTTCATTTGTCGTTACTGAACTCGTGAGGCAAGATTCTTGTTCTTGACCTTATCCTTGTGCACACAGACAACGAAGCAGTTAAACCACTCAGTTTAATGATTTCAATACGTATTTCGCAATCGCGTTTGCTATGGAAATGTATTTCCGTTGATCGGTCATGCGGTCGGTGAGGTTACTTACATCACATCGTCCGTTTCATGTTTTGTCTGCGCATGCTAGAGTTTATCTAATTTTTGCTATAACTGAGGTTAACAAAAAAAGAAATGGCATCATCCTGGCAAGATAATTATGACAGAGCTAGAAGCGAGGGACTGTTACAGCGTGTTCTCATCACAAAGCAATTCCATTTTGTTAAAGCAAACACCTACTCAAGTCTTATGTTTCGAGTTCACAATTTGTACAGATACCATCAACAATTTGTACAATTTATCCTTATAGCACGCGTGTAGAATAAATGATGTGGGAGCTTTTCGTTAGAGATCTTTCTGGTTTGATTTCTTCTTTAAGAACTGATGAACTGGTTAGAAAATCAATGAAGTCCTTTTTTTAAGGAGATCTACGGTAATAATTAGACTTGACAGTTTTGATTTGAACTGACTTTGTTTTTCAGTTAAATAACAGTAAATGATCATAAAATGAAAGTTGAAGTCAAAGAGTATTGTTTGTTTGTTTTGAAACCATACTCAATTAATTTCCTAATACAGAATATTTTTAACAGTTGAGTGAACTGTAAGGAAATTATTGCACAAAGCAGAATATTTGATCAGCTTGCTGGAGAAAAAATATTGCTTATTTTGTTTTTGTTTTGTATGTGGTTTTGGAAGGAAGTTAAAAGTTTACTAATTTAAAGATGACAAATAAACAGCTAATATGCTATTTTTGTACTTGACGATGTCATTAATGTTTTAACAATGTGCAGATGTAATTTTCTTTGATTTTTATTATTTTGCTCAAGTTAGACAAATATATGATCAGATGTTGCAAATGCGTCATTGTTGTAGAATTTTGATACTTGTTGTACCGTGAATTATCGTCCTCAAGTCTTTCAAACGATGATGGATCACTGGTATCTGTGGAAAATATTACTTATAGCAAAATATGGGCATCCTTTCTGTTCGCATGTAGCCAGATACATTTCTTTGGAAGAACAAAAAAATTAGCGTGTAGCTACAGCTTTCATTTTCTAAGCAATGAGTATGGTGCCAGGGAAATAAAACTGTTGAAAAACAAATATTGTATCAAGTTTCTACAATTGTGACTCTTGAGGTTGTAAGAAATCAAAATGATTGAATTATTGTTTTCAAAAGTTTTCTTTAGCCCAGAAAAGTTTCCCTTTCTATAGCCATATTGGGTTGCATGGGTGCTACGTGATATTTTGTGTCTTTTGGTTTATAATTTTGTGTTTTCCAATGTTAAGACATGCTGAAATACCCTATAATTTATTTGTCTGGAAATTTCTCCAAGAGTATTGTTTTGAACAGTTGTTATTATCATAATGAAAGATTAAGGTGAAAGGTGGCTAGATTGTTGTTTTGTTTTTCATCTGTTTGACCTAACATTATTAATTAACAACAATTGTTCAATATAAAAATACATTAAGGAAACACTTTTTCAAGAATGAAAAGAACATTTTATTGAGTCCTAGATTCATTCATTTTGAGCATAACCGAAATGTGGAATTAAGTTGTCAGTAAGTTTAATATGAGTTTAAACATTTTCTTAATGAATAAATATTGAAGTGTCAAATATTTAAAAAATCTGATGTGAACTTAACTTGTTTTAATCACTTCTAAATTAAAAAAAATTATTCATTATTTTACAACTTAATCCTAAAGAAACTATGGCCAGAACAAATGAAAAGGAACAAATCTTTGAATTTATCAATTAATTATTGTAATTAAAATTCCATAATTGACATTACTTGGATTTTACATATTTACGCAAAAATTTTGTTAATAGGTCTTTAGTACTTTTTAATGAAAAGTGAAACAGTTTGCAGGTTTTTACTTTGACTTCAGAGGAAGGAGGACTGGTGACAATTACTTGTGGAATCAACACGGTGTCCTTAGTGTGGGTCATCATGTTTATGTTTGTAGTAGATGATGTACTGTCAAAACTCAACAGTTTTTTGTTTAACTAAGGTAAAGTAATAGAAGTAATTGTTCGAATAGGGAGTTCTTTACATATTCATGGAGAGAAAGATTTGAACCTTTCCTTTCTTCAAATGAGAATATTGATCATGTTCATAAGCATTTTGATCTAGTTGAAGTTATTACGTAAATAAATATTGACATTCTCGTTGTTGGATCTTATTGAAAGTGATGTGTGACGGTGAAATATCTTATCAGTATCAATCAGTATACCTTTTATATTGATATTTTTTACTTAAAATTATTGTGTGAAATGACTACTTAGAATTGTGTGGACAGTCCAAAACTTGTGCATAAAGTCTTTTGTTTAAAATGTCCAGTTACCATTTAAACCTTGCAATGAGTATTAAAATTATTTTATATGAGATGACTGTGAAATTGAGAGAAAGTATTATATTTCACTTTCCATTATGTCATTGTAATAAAATGAACCTTGGTTGCTTCTCCTCTCTGACAATTCTCATTACTTCCTTGTGACATGATTTGTGAGTTATGTCTTTTAACCCTTTAACTCCCAAGATCTCATTAGTAATTCTCCTTACTGTCTGCCATACAGTTCTTCTGATGTTAGTTTGGATAATTTGGTATTGGATCAACTTATAATCCCTTATGTCACAGGCTTCATGATAATCCATATTATTTTTCCTTGCAGTGTGCCAAACTCCTGTCCTACCAGTCCCCGTGGAGATGCCAATCACACCTACGCTCCAAACTTACATGCTGTAGCAGAGTTAGCTGCCCAAGACGTCCAAGTTACCGTAGAGGAAGATAAACCCAACCCCTCTGGAGGGGAGGCGGGCAGTAAAGATGACGGCAAGCCACCCTTCTCATATGCTCAGTTAATAGTGCAAGCAATATTATCTGCGCTTGATAAGCAACTGACTTTGAGTGGTATCTACACTCACATCACGAAGAATTACCCATATTATCGCAGTGCAGACAAAGGCTGGCAGGTAAACTTTATGCTTCAAATTTTAGATAATAAAGAATATAGAATAAATGACAGCTTCAATTGCTTTAAACTGAAACATTCATGACAATAAATTATTTTCAATTGTTATTTGAGTAGAGCTTCACTATGTAAGGCATATGGTTGTGTTTTCTGATTTTCACTTTGTTCTGGTAATGTAACTTATGCTAAATTGTAATGCAAAGAACCTTTTTATAAACCATTTCTTAGAAGAAAATCAGATAAGTTTTTGTCAAAATCATTTATTTGGTCAAAAGTAGCAGAAAACCCAAGGAATTTTATGGTGTTACACTTTTAATTTTTCTAAGCTCTTTACTTAAGCTCCAACAATTTGGCTGGGTTTTTTTTTTTTTTCAAAGCTGAATATTATCTGGTAATTTAAATATGCTGAGGACTCTTAAGAAACTTTTAACGTCTTGAAATCATCAACAGAATTCCATTCGTCATAACCTATCCCTAAACCGCTACTTTGTGAAAGTACCACGTGCTCAGGATGAACCAGGAAAAGGCTCTTTCTGGCGGATTGACCCATCATGTGAGCAGAAGCTGGCAGAGCAGGCATTCCGCAAACGTCGACAGAGAGGTGTACCATGTTTCAGACCACCTTTTTCTCAACTGTCTTGCAGGTATGTGTTTAAAGGGAAAATGTTTGATGTGCCTTAACCTTCAACTATTGCTCAGAAAACAAAATTTTAACATTTACTCTAAAAATCTTCTGGATAGAGATAGTTTCTATAGACTGTACAATTGTGTGGAAGGGGAACCTGCAAGTGTAAATGAAGGGTGGGATGGTTGTCAATTTTGAAGGAAAGAGGAAATGTATTTGTTGCTTCCTGCCATCTCCTGTTTCTTCTCAGCCCTGTTCTGCAAAATCTTGGGAGAATTGTGTTATGAAGATGTCAGAGGCTTTGACAGGTGCTAGGTGTAAATAAAGTTCCACATTGGGTTATGCTGCATATGCAAAACAAATTTTTGCTTCGTGATTTATTCATTTGACTCTCAGGTCAGCCCCAGCATCTCCCACTCATGGCCTTCAGTTTCATGCTCCCCCTGCTCCAGTGACTCATGTACCACGAGAGAATTCCCCTACCAAAACAGTGACCCAGGCAGCTGATGCAGCAGGATCTCAAGCCAAAGCAACCCCTACCTCACCTCCTATCATCCCAGCATCTGGACTTCCACCCCCTGTGCCTTCCTTACCTTCAACAGTCCTCAAACAATCTGCCGCATTACAAGCAATTGCTGCACAAATGGCAGGAGCTGCTCTGCCTGTCAGTGTGATCAAGTCTTCCTTGGAGGCTGTGAAAGAAGGAGATGGAGCTGAGTCTGAGAAGAATGGATTTTCTCAGTCATCAGGAGATGAGTCACCCGTAGAGAATACTCTTCAACCAGACGCAAAAACAGCTGTCAGCAAACCTATGATTTCTACTTTAGTAAAGCCAATACAACAACCAACACAACAACAAGTTCAAAAAATACAACAAGATCAAAAACCACACCAACTGTCACATCAACAGCAGATTCCTCTTCAGTTTTTAGCAGGAGCAGCTGCTCCCAGTGCAGGTAAATGTGTGTCAGTGTGCTTCTGTGTTTTTTAAGTTTCTATTTTTGTGGGTTAATAAAATCATTCATCCCTGGATGTAGTAAAGTCTTTTCAATGGCCAGGTTTGGACTGCATACTGCTAATCTTCTTCAGGCTATATGCCTAAAGTGACTAGTTGAGAATAGAATTAGACCACATCACAAATGACAACATGGGAAGGCAAACAACTACACTCCACAAAAAAAAAAAAATTAAACATGATGAATAAAGCAACCTTTTTTCATGATTGTATTTTTGTTTTAGGTGGCTTGCTTACTCCCATTCCTACACCAACAAATGTCTCTCCAACTGGCACTCAGGATATGTCAGTCAAACCACAGATTTCAAAAGTTCCTAACCCTCTGCCACTTCCCATAGTAACAACTGGAACACTCACTCCTGACTCCTCTCCTCTTGGGGTGTTGTCTCCAGCTGCCACTACAGCTGCAGTTTCAATGGCAATGAATGGTGCCAAGCGACCATTAAGCACAAGTCAACCACTGACCAACAGTGAAGAAGAACATGAAATAAAGCGTCAAAAATTATCTCAGCCAAGTGCTGCATACAAAAGTAGCCCCTCCCAGCCGGAGACTGCCAATCAAGGAAAGCTCTAGCCTTCGCACACATTAACTTTCTCAAAGCATCAAGGCTGCTAAGTTACTGCTGTTATTGTTTTGTACAGTTAGTAGTTAAGGCACCAATCATTTGTGGTAGACACTGCAACTGATCAGAATTCATCAGATGGGAGGTGTTTGACATGTCAACACACACTTGACAGGACAAGGTGCATTCTTTAAACAACAGTCTTTTTTCCTGATCTCATACTTTGAAAGGTCTCAAATGTGTTTTACAAAGGTTGCATATGAACGCTACCAAGTGTCAGGGCACTGGACAAATGTGGGCTGACATGTGGTAAATTTTGGGAACCTGAGGTGACGAAAAATTTGTACTGGAATGAGTGGTGTCCAATGCAGAGAAGCAAATGCTCTATTTAACTAGTGACATTTCTTAGAGTTCAGGGCACCTCAAAGGATGGGAAGTTAAAGATCAGAATGAATAAGTTAGGACTGAACAATATTTGTGCATGTGTACAGATGCCATTCTTCTGTTGAGAATGGGATGTTTGTTACTAAGTGGGCTGGATCTACACTGTATGATGAAGTGTTCATTGGTATATATCTGATGAGATGGGTGAATAATGGATGTGACTATCTCACAACGCTACAAAGCTACAGCACATGTTGTGCTGTACTTTTAAGATGTTTTGTTTGGCATTGTTGCTGATCAAAATAGTGGTATTCCTATAAATTATCAGGGAACTGTGGTCAAATGTAAACATTTCATACAAGTATGCTTAGTTCTTACCCTGTCAAATGGTAATTATAATGCAGCAGTTCTAAAATACATTGAAAGTGTTTCATACATGACAAACTGGGTTTTGCTTTCAAGGGACTTATTGATTTAAGGCCTAACAGGAACTACAAAGTTTGCCATAATTAAAAAGATATATATTAACAGAATTGATAGTAAAGGAAGCCAAAGCAGTTTCAGGTTTTATTTTAGCAAAATTGTAGCTGTTTGGCTTTCATTGAATCTTTCTATTTCCCATGGTGCAATATTCAGCAATTTTTGGTGCATGCAAAGAATTTATGTTATAGCTGAATTCAGGCTTGCAGGGTTGGTAATTCTTGCTCTTGAGGGCTCTATTTCTGCTTTTCTAAATTAATCACTGAATTTTAATACAACTGAAGTATTAATTCCAAAATTATGTTTCTTGCTTTCTAAATGAGCAGAGTTGTTCAAAAATGAAAATAAAGAAATGATTTATATTTCCTGAAAAGCCAAAATAAGTAAGTAAAATGAGTGTTAGTTACAGTCATTGTAAGTGTATGTTTAACTCCTTTTTTTTTTTTTTTTTTTTAAACAAATTTCTACAATGGCTGCTAGAAACCTTTTCAATAAATCCTTGAAATCAAGAATTTTATTTCCCATGGAAAAGAACTGTAATAGGGCAACAACTATAGCTGATATTATTAACTAAGGCATTATTTCACAATTTGTGTTTCTCTCTATGAAATTCAGTGTGATGATAATACAGCATTAAATATTTGTTCCATAAGGTAAGACTAGAGTAGATATGTATTAGGGGTCACGGCAACACTCATCCATCAAAATGAACTTCATTGTGTTATAACATTGCAAATTAAAGTAAATTCTTTTATGGCCACTAAGATCCTGACTGTGACCTTGTACAAATAATGGTACCTCTCTATCTGTTAGTGACCCACTTGCATAAATGTCACTCAGATTATTGTTGTAAGGTCTATTTAATTTATCATTCTTTTAATAATAGTAGATTTGTATCGTGGGTGGACTTGCGTTAAAAATGCCAGGATTGCTCCTGGAAAATTTTCAGTCAAGGGTGATGATCTCTTTGTAGATTTGGCAGTTAAAAGCTAAATTAAGAATTTATTCTCACCTCTAGGTTCTTTAAATCTCCATCAGAACAAATTGAGTGAAGTTTGTGTTATTTGTTGTAACCTTCCTCTTTCAAAGTCTCTCTTTTCACTACTTTCTCACTGGATAGAATTTGTGAGGTAAAGTTATTTGTAATTTTTTTTTTTGTTAACTGGTGGAGTATGTTTCTAAGTGTTGTTGTATAACATAAAGTTGCTGGAAGTAGTATCTTGTTCAAATTTATGTTTTGATGTGATTTTTTTATCTCAAAAATGAAGAAGAGATTTTTATGAGTTTTCTTGTAAATGCTACAACTGCTCTTGCCACCCAGTCTCTCGGAATTTTGGGTACTCAAACAGACCTCAATTTCTTTTATTGTTGAAAATAATTTAAATTTGAAATGAGGTATTACAACTTATGGAAAGTTAAGGGCCAAAGTTGTTTTATTTGACAAAATCTAGACCGGATTCTCTACCATGGATTGTCAAGCCTTGATGGCCAAATAATAAATTATTAAGCTTCGTCTGCTTGGAAGAGTTATTTGTGAAGTATGACTTAATTGATCATTAAATGAACCTTTTAAAGGTGAGAATGTTTGCAGAAGTTCTTTTTTTTTCTTGCCATTTGAACAAAGCTGCCCCCCTTAAACCAGCCAGGATTTTAACCCTGTAACTCCCAGAAGTGATTAACTTGTAACTTCTCCCCATTATAAACAACTATTGTTTGAGGTTTTAGTGATCCACAATAACGAAGGCTGAGACCTTGATGATTCTGAATGTCACAAAAATGGAATCTAATAATTGTTTTATTTTATAGAAAAAAACAGAAAAAAAATGGCCAGACAGTAAGTGGAACTGATAATTTATTTCTAACCATGTAAAAATATACAAATCAGCAAGCAACACAAAGTGCACAAACTTGACATGATTATCCATAGAAATCATGCACTGCAATCACATATGACAAGATTACCTGAGACCTTTAGTGTCCTTGATATGATTACTTTATAACCTGCAGATAGTTAACATCCTGGGTGCTGATTTTGAAAATTCAATGTATGCTTTTGGCCAATGAGAAAAGAGATAGTGAGTTGAATGTATATCAATATCCATGTTATCCAGCAAATCGGTAATGAGAATACTCAAACTTATCAGGTAGAAGTTATTATCTTGATCCAACACCAAAATTCTTGTAACTAATTTACAAGGCAATGTGTTGTAGCTATGGAGGAGAATTAATGATCAGATCTTTAGAATTAAAGTTTAGCAGTGAAGACTTGCATTTGATCCTGTAATTTTCCTTCCAAGTTGCTCTACAGTCTGTTCTGTCACCTATTTGCTGGATAACATTGAAATTGTCACGTTACTCTTTCAATCATCTACAGGATGTAATAGAAAAGTGTACTCCAAAAAGTTATTTTAGTTTTATAAATAAGGCCTTGGTATTGAGTAAGATAAGCCTCTTTATTATTATCTGAGAAAAAAAACAAAACAGGCAATAATTTAAACGTCTGATTCCAGAGCTGATTTCCTTTACCTTTTCAACATTTATTTTGAAACAGAATGAAACTTGCATTTTTTTAGATACCACTGTCTTTCCAGTTGAATTTGAAAGTGCACTCTGTTAAAAAAGGATCCACTCACTTTAAAGGTCCTTTCAATTATTTTCAAGAATAACTTCAGTAGCTTTTATTACGAAAAAGTTTTTACATATTGTGAAATGAGAATGATTCAAAATCTATTATAAAGATACCTGACATTAATAAAACTCAGCTACTTCAATTGAATATTAACATGCAACCAGTAAAAATGGCTCTAACTACTTAATGAAAAGCCTTTCATGGCTTCAAGGACTAATGAGAAAGCATTGAGACTAAGACTCACAAGCACACAGCTCAGATAGGGAGTCATAAATGAGATCTAAATTCTTTTCTTAAAATTCAATGACATCCAAAGAATTTCCATTAATTTATTAAGGTAATTGAATGATATGTCAAACTTTCAATGAAAGTGCACAGAGACTTCCCAAACTTTTATGAAATTATGTGGCAATCTGTCTTATTACAATAAATTCTTTTATTTTTCATATCTGTGGCAACCTTATCAAAAGACAAAATTTTGATTTTACAAAAGATAATTTAATTGTGAACCAAGAATTGGGCTAAATGTATGAAAAGTCACAGACACACTCAGCCAGGAGAAAGTGCTCCTTAAATAGAGCTACCAAATTTCGATAATGTAGTAGGAGTAGACAAAAATTATACTTAAACTTCATAATGCTGTCCCTTTGGCAATAATGTACGTCTTTGTTTAATGTTTTAAATATCTTTTGTGTGTGCAGTGATCATGTAAACAAAGCTATTTACAAATACTTGCAGACAAATCTCAGCATGATCAAATTGACCATAAAAACAAATTGTTTTACTCTCTTTTCCCATAAAATTATTATAAAACTTCTGAAATCACTGCTTGGCAGTTAAACCCACGATTTCTGTTTTAAGTTTGCTATAATTATGTGCATTGTTCAAAGCTTCAAATGAGAATATAGGTAAAAAAAAATATTAGCTTTAACACAATATAAGTTGTTATGATTAATGAAAGCTCCCCCTTATTGGAGCCCCACCTAACACTTGATGGACAGTTGAGAACTGATAGCAATCACGACAAACAGCCATGTATTTCTCCGCTCCCCCTATAACCTCAACCTGGGGATGCAATCATAGACCAAATTGTCTGGTTAATGTTTGAAGCCCTCTAGAAGGTAAGCCCCTGTTGTAACATACATCAATACCATAATTGTATCAATACTCAATTTAAAATAGCTGCCAAAGGTTGATGGATAACACAAATTAGGTGCTAACTAAAAGCCTCTGACATTATTAATGCACTAGAAGTGTGGGCTACAATGTGTTCTGTTGACTAAGAAATTATTTTTTACTCAAGAAACAGTTAATAACAATTAATATAAAAATGATTTCTTAGCTCACTTTTCATAAGTATCATGTGAAACAGTATCCAGTCAAATTGCCAATGGTTCAACTCGCCAATGCCAACTTGCCAATATGTTGTTGGCAAATGTTGGCAAGTTGGTCTTCCATCCAGTACAACTTATTAGAAGTTAAATATAAAGAAAAGTAAAAGATCTTTAGTAAAAAAAAAAACAATTTTTTTCCTTCCAACAAAGTTTATAAGGATCTCATGGCGAATAAAGCAAGGTAAACATCACCAATGACTGCAAAAGCTTCAGACATGAACAAGTTATAGCTCATTTACGTCTAAAGCTTTTTTGGTCATTAGTCATGTTCACCTTGCTTTATTTGCCTTGAGATCCTTAAAAACTTATAAACTTTGAAAGAAAAAAATTGTATTTTTTACTAAAGATCTTTTACTTTTCTTTATGTTTAACTTCTAATAAGTTGTGCTGGATTGAAGACCAACTCACCTACATCTCTACTTGATTTTATATGTTGGTGAGTTGGTGTTGGCGTTGGCAAGTTGAACCGTTGGTGACTTGACCATAATTCTGTGAAACATGATAACTTAAAATATCAGCACACTAGTGACTTGACTTAAAATAGCAAGGTCTGGGTTTAATTTCTGGGGTCATAGAGGTTTGTTTTTGTATGAGACACAGCCTCCAACAAGGAATAGGGTGGAAAGGGTAATGGACATTCATCACCAAAAGCTGTCCGACTGCTACTGTTGGGTGTAACATGTGATAAATTACCATGCCATCCATGGAAAGTAGCAATATTATTTCTTTGTTTCATGAGATGGAAACCAGAGCAAGCTTATTAATATCAATACTTAATACCTTTGTCTCCTCCCCTAGTCTTTTGGTGAATGCAGCATCTTTGAAGCAATGCATACAGACTGCATTAAGTTTGACAACACTTTCTGCAAGAGGAACAAGTTGCAGCACAGCTCCAAAAGCCTGTTCAGATTGAACAAATGTTTCTTTTTAATTTATTTACAAGATCCTATAAACTTGTGATGATAATCACAACTAAGTTTATCCCTATATCTGTGTATCATTCACGAAGTAAGAGGGTGTAATTAACTGTTGTTTATCAATCTAGAGCCTCATCTCCTTTATTTATGACACAAATGTTTGATTTAAACATGATACTCTACAGTGCTGAAGGGTTCATTGCATATAAATATATTCCTAACCTTCCTTTGAAAGGTTCCATCTAATGCAGCAACTATAACAGTTTTACCAAGAGAGGCCATTTCTTCTGAGAACTCTACAATGTCTGGAAACTATGGAAAGGATATGAATAACAGTTAATAATGGTTTCAAATTCACGAAAAAGATTAACATTGTTTACCTGCATGGAGCAGACAATCTTTGAAAAATAATAAATGCAAGACTTACAAATTGTCCTTCATCAATTCCCAAAACAGAATAATCTATAGCTTTTTCCTTGATATCTGCTAACACTGAACAAGCAGAGGCTCTGAGGCTTTGCCTGAAAAATACACAATACATATTTTTTGATTATCAGAGTGGATTTTACCCTGCTTAGCTCACAAAAAAAAAAAAAAAAAAAAAAAAAGAACCGCACCCAACCCACTAGCTTTTCCTCCACTTTGAAATTCCTACAGATACATTTTTACTTTGAAAAGCCGAAAAAAAAGGATCTCTTCACAAATTATCAATTCATTAATTGAGAGCTTATGCAACACCTTCCTTTTCCCTGAAAATTCCTTTCATGTTGGAGTACGCACAGTTCGCGTGATCTTGAGGATGGCGATTAGCATATTTGTAGTGCAGAGTCCAGCTGAAGATAAATCTCCTGTGCGCCTTTTAGCTTGGTGAATGCATTTGTTACACTACTTGTCACACTTGTTACGTGTCCGCTAAGAATATTCCAATGGCATCCAGGTAAACTGTAGGTTTACATATTCAAGTGGTGCCTCCGTTAGAGGGAATATATATCCGTTAGAATGTCTCGTAATTCAACCTCTCTCTGTTTGATTGAATAGGGATCTTACCTATCGTGTGTTGCTACACCGTCTGTGTCATAGCGGTTGTCCTTCTCGTATTTGATCACCATACACGGATGGTTTGCTACTTGGTATCGCTTGATTCGTCTGAGTAACTCAGTTCTAAAAGACGAACCATTCATGTCATGACATAAACACGTGCAAAGTTTGAGTTTACGGCCACAATAAAGCATTTGTCACTGAAAGCGATAGATTTATACTTACGTCTTTCCCGAAAACATCGGCCCAAAGATGACCTGCAAGATGAAGAGACAAAACACAAAGAATGAGCTCTCATTGCCTTGTAAATTTCAATGAACGCAAATTATAGCATTAAAACGCCATCTTGAACATTACATCACCTGAATTTGACCTCTTAAATTCACAACGCTGTGAACATCCATGCCTGGAATTGTCACCAGAGACATTTTGAAAGTTTTTGTCGCTTGTGCTCTGCACAGTATCGTTGATGAAGCTTTTGTTGATGAGAGAAGCGCGCCAAAAGTTTTACAAAATTCGCGCCTTGCCATCGTTTAAAC